AAGTTTGAAACACATCCCTACCCAAAATCTGGTGTCACGAGCTCACAGACTACTATAGAATACTACAACAAGTCTGAATGAAAGAAATACACATGTCCGTTTCGGTACAATGAAAACAAACTGAAATAAGGAAAGGGACTTCGGCCTGCGAACGCCAGCTAGGCTACCTCGAGAGTCCCTGGACTGAAGATAGCTCCCGGATAAGAATCCTACTGCTGCTGTCCAAAAGCTGCTCCTGGATCTGTGCACAAAGAAATGCACAGAGTGTAGTATCAGCACAACCGACCCCATGTGCTGGTAAGTGTCTGGCCTAACCCCGGCGAAGTAGTGACGAGGCTAGACAGGACTACCAAACCAACCTGTACAATTTTTTATATACAAATATGCAACAAAAGGAAAGAAAATACCGAAACTAAACAGTTAAAAGGGAGGGAAACATGCTATGGGGAGAGTACAATTTGGATATAAAGTTCATCAGCGTAATTAAGAAACATGGCACAACAATAATTATCAAAGAATAAGAAATTCAATAGTTGCACGGCATCACCCTTCGTGCTTTTACTCTCAATCTCACCCAAAGCAATCAAATAAAATGCACGGCATCACCCTTCGTGCTTTCCCTCACATAGCTCTCATCTCATGGCACGGAATGACCCTTCGTGCAAATATAATCAAATCAGAGCACGGAATGTACCTTCGTGCATAAATAGTCAAAACATAGCACGGAATGTCCCTTCGTGCAAATATAATCAAGAATAGCACGGAATGACCCTTCGTGCAATTTCACTCTTCCTCACCCAAATAACAGTCACAACCAAACGGGCAAGAGGAATAAACAAGTAATATGAACTATCCCGGCAAGGGAATAACACAAATAACAACCAAGTCCCGGCAAGGGAACAATAACAATATCTTTCACAACCCGGCAAGGGCAATACTCACTGTAATCAAACCATCCCGGCAAGGGATTAATCACAACTCTTTTCAATACGTTCATCTCTTACTCAATGGTATTTATCACTCGAGCCAATGCTCCAAGATATTAATATTTCACAACTTATCCTCAAACTCTTCACATTTGCAGAAAAACATGTTGTAGCTTAGAAGAGTTCCAAATTATCTCAAAAACAAGTACAAACAAGGACCCACGGTCATGCTAGACTCCGGTGTATAGACACTCGTCACCACGCCTATACACCGTACTCGATCAATTAGCAAATAGCATTTATGATACTCTAATCCTATTCCCTCAAGCCAAAGTTAGATCAAACACTTATCTCGGTCCGAAAATAGCAATCAAGCCTCTAACACCGCCTTTCCTCTAGAATTCGACTCCGAAACAATGATATCTATTCATAATTAATTCAATAATATCAAATGAGGCTCAACAACATAATCCCATAGCCTAGAAATGAATTTCCTACCATTCTTCCAAAAATAGCAAAATCCGACACCGGGCCCACATGGTCCAAACTCGAGGCTCGGACCAAATTCCAATCACCCATAACCCCACGAGTTCAAATATATAATTTGTTTCAAGATCCGACCCCAAATTGAGGTTGAATCGCCCAAAATTTTCAAAAACCTAACTCTACCCAAAAGCCCTAATTTCTACCTTGATTTCATGTTCTTAGGCCTAGAATTTAGTGATTAGATGATAAAATAATGAGGAAACGATGTTAGGATTACTTACCCAACGAGTTGTGGAGGAAAGGGAACTTGAATTTCGTCTATGGAGGATTTGAGAGAGAGGTTCGTGTGAAGAAGATGGCAAAATCCCGTAATGGCTACTGTTTTAGGCTTTTAAAATAATTGGGCAAAATTGTTCATCGCGTTCGCGACACCCCGATCGCGTTCGCGATGAAGGAAAATGGGCAGGCATCGCGTTCGCGTGAAGGGGAAGGCGAATGCGTAGAAGAAAATGCTGGGGGTCTGGGCAGGTTTATACGCGAACGCGAGGGAGGCTCGCGAACGCGATGAATGACAGTTGGGGTTCCAAATATTGGCCTATGCGTTCGCGAAACTGGTATGCGAACGCAAAGAAGGGGGGCAAGGGAAGCTATGCGGACGCATGGCCTTTCACGCGAACGCGAAGAAGGCTAGAGTACAAGGCATCGCGAACGCGGGACAAGGTCGCGTTCGCGTAGAACAATAGACCTGTGCAGAAATTGCAGAAAATCTGCTAACTTTTCTAAGTGTAAAACACCCCGAACCACCTCCGAAACACTCCCGAGCCCTCGGGGCTCCCAACCAAACACACACACTAACTCAATATCATCCTACGAACTTGCTCGAGCGATCAAATCGCTAAAATAACATCAAAATCAAAGAATCAATCCCCAAAACTCATAATTTTCATTTCAAAGTTCATAAACCTTCAACTTAGCTATTTAGGTCCGAAACACGTCAAACGACGTCCGATTTCGACCAAATTTCACAGGAAGCGCTTAACGCATATTTAAGACCTGTACCGGGCGTCGGAACCAAAATACGAGCCCGGTACCTATATTTTCTAACTCATTTTCATTTCCATTTTTCCTTATTAATTTCAGAAAACAATTTATCAGAAAAATTCTTTTACCGGGGTTCTGGACCTCGGATTTCGACTCCGGGCACATGCCCGAGTCCCATATTTTTCTACGGACCTCCCGGGACCGTCACATCACGGGTCCGGGTCCGTTTACCCAAAATGTTGACCAAAGTCAACTATATCAATATTAATATCATAATTCACCAAATTTTTCACAGAATTCATATATTTTAACATAAAAATTTTTCGGCTTCACGCCCGGAGTGCGCACGCAAATCGAGGCAACCAAAAGTGAGGTTTCCAAGGCCTCGGAAGCGCGGAAAAAGGGAGAACCACGGTGATGACCCTTTGGGTCGTCACAAGTAGTTTGATGAATAATTCCTTGAGAAGATAGAAAACCTGATGTTTCCAGGCTACTCCCAAGTTCTAAGGCATTGTCTGACCTTATTATCTTAACCTTCTTTTCAAATTGTCTTTCTACCATGGCAAGAAAATGTTTTAGCATAGTAAAGCATTTGATTTGGTGCTTAGGAGGTAAGTCCAAGTCCCCCTACTGAAATCATCAACTATTGTAAGGAAATATTTAAAACCATCATGAGTAGGTTCTCTATATGGTCCCCAAGTGTCTATATGAATTAGATCAAAAATTGCCTTAGTTGTTATGCAACTGGACTGGAAAGGTAATTTAACTTGTCTGGCTTTTGCACAAATATCATAGTGATCAAATAAATTAGAAGAGGATGAACAAGGGATAGAGGAAATATTTCTCATATTAGAGTAAGTCTGTTATGCCATAGGCTTACATCAGTTGAGAAAGCAGTAGAAGATAAAACTGAAACTAAAGACTGAGTACTAGCTCTATTACAACTAAGAGAAGTTGGACATAAGTCCTTCTTTGAATTCAAATAACTGGAACTAGGCTTGATGGAGTGGAGTAGATATATTGCCTTCTTTTCTTTACCAAGAACCACTGGCCTCTTCATTGAAGGGGCCTGCAAAATTGCACCAAGATCACGAAAAATGAGAAGACATTTAACATGTTTACACAACTTATGAACTGACAAAAGATTGTATTTGAAACTTGGGACAAAAGAACATTAATAAGAGTAAGATTAGGCATGACTTGTACACTTCCAGCCTGATGGACTTTGACCCTTTGTGAGTTAGGCAAATTAACAAAACAGGCTTGATTAGAGTTTGGATGTTGAATAAAAGAGTAAAATCACATGTCATATGCTCAGAAGCACCTGAGTCTACAATCCAAACAACAGAGTTAGGAACATTAGAGAAGGAATGTGAAGGTATACCAGCACAGTTGGCAGTGACATTAACCTCAGAACTTATCTCTCCTTGAGGTGCATGTTTGACTTGTTGAAGCAACTGACAAAGGTTATTGTATTGTTCTTGAGTAATTCCCCTTTCTGCATTAGCCACTGATTGATTTGCATTATCATCTGCTGTGAGTACAGCATTACCCTGTACTCCATTCTGAAATCTCTTATTTTTAGTGAACTTAAAATCTGTAGGGAAACCAATGATTATGTAGCACCTTTCAGCTGTATGTCCAGGTTTCTTGCAATAGTTGCATATGATATTATTTCTTTTTCCTTCAAAGTTTCCCTTCTTCTCTGTATTAACAAATTTCTGGGCACCATACTGCTGTTTTGCAGCCATGAAAGCAGAGTCAACTGGATGTTGAGCAACATGAATTTCCTTCTGTTTCTCCTCTTGGATTAACAGAGAATAAGCATGATTGATGCTGGGAAGTGGAGATCCCATCAGAATGTTGCTCTTTACCCCAGAGTATGCCTCATTCAGTCCCATGAGAAACTGAATGAGCCTACCATCTTGTTGAGATTTGAGAGATCTGCTCTTTCCTCCACAAGAGCATTCACAACTGCAATGGACACAGGTATCAAAACTATCCAATTCATCCCAGATCCTTTTGAACTTAGTGTAGTATCCAGCAACATTAGAATTTCCTTGAACTAAGTCACTAAGTTCCTTTTGCAGTTGATAAAGGAGAGCTCCATTGCTCTACCCAAACCTGTCCTCCAGCTCCTTCCATATTTCTTTGGTAGTTTTTGAATAGAGAACACTCTCAGCAATTTCTTTGGAGAGTGAGTTCAATAGCCAGGAGATCACCATGTCATTACACCTATTCCAAGCCTTAAAAGAAGGAGAAGAAGCTGTTGGCTCAGTGATAGATCTATCTATGAATCCAAGTTTTTTCTTGGCTGAGAGAGCTATGAAGACAGCTCTACGCCAACCTCCATAACTCTTACCATCAAAGATTGAGTTAACAAGGATCATCCTTGGTGAGTCTGATGGGTGAAGGTAAAAGGGATGAGAAGAGTCATTAGTGCCAGTGGGCTGAATGGACTCAGTAGTGGTGGAAGAACCAGAATCCACAGATGGATTTGCTGGAGGAGGAGGCAAATCAAAGTTTGCCATTAGAGAGATTTGCTAAGAAGCTTGAAGAAGAAGAAAGATCGGATCAAGAACCTTGTTGCTCTGATACCATAATAGAAAAAAGAAGAATTTAGAAGAATTTTCTGATTGTATATTCATCCGTTCACTATACATGTGTATATATACAAAGCAAAGAGAATAAAATCTGTTATTCCTATCCTACGTGTCTTAATGCTATTGCTCTATGTATAACAAACAAGGAATATGTAAATAAGAATACAACAAATTCTGATATCTATAAGTTTCTCACACTCTTCTCACGTGTGAAGAATTCTCTAGAATTTAGTATTAGTTGCTTGCCAGGTGTCTTTTCTTCAACACAGATGGATGGCTCCGATTTGTTTAATCTCATCAAAGATGAAGGGCGCAGATTCCTTTGATTAAGCAAAGATAAAATGGTCTGATTACTCTTGGATGTATCGAGATTGAACTTCCAAACTCTCTGTTGTCTTTCTTCTTCTTGTCTCTCTAATTCATCTCTGCTTGTAAATCTATATATGCCTTAGAGAAATTAGAGAAGCTGATTCCAACAATTGCCTCATTCATGATTCTTCTATAGGTACATTAGTGTACTGCCCCTATTTTCGGGATTCATTCAATACATCCAATCCATTCATGGATATTTACTTTGAGATTTTGAAGCAAATTACTAAATTAGTTTTGGAACTAAAGATTTAAATATAAATAATCAACACTCAAATCGATTTAAATATAAATAATCATCAATTGAATTTTCATCTCAAACAATTGAAGAACTATAGTGCTCTTGGTGAAATTCACTTGCCACAGACGAGTCAATTTGATGTTGTTGGACAGTTTTTTAATCATCGAAGAAAAATTAAGCTCACGGAGATTAATAAAACAGAAAGTATCTTAGTACGTCGTCCTTGAATCTTGCATAATTAAGTATACGAGTTAAAGATTAGATGTATAGTAGCAAAACTGGTGAAAAGTTGTAGAAGAAGAAGAGTGGAAAGAGTAAAAATGTCAATTCCTGTGTCGGTAAAATAAAAGAAGCCTATTTTTATATAACTTTTATAAATGGAATAGGTCCTGATACTATCGGACACCTCTACTATTCTAAATTCTTTAAAAAAAGTTGTCTTATAAAGTTTTTTCAATTAAAGTGACAATAATCCAAATGAAATTATTTATTTAGTTCAGAGTCACTTGGGATAATTTTATGGTATCCCAAGTCACCGATTTATTTTAAATCCCAAATCGAGGAAGTTTGACTCCGTTTAAAGTCTGCGAAAACCAGAAGACCGGGTAAAGAAGAAGTGTTAGGCATTATCGGATTCCGTGATTTTGGCACGGTCGCTTTAATCATACCTGGCTTAATTAATTATTTGAATTACGTATTTAGAACCTATGCACATTTTTCTTTTACCGCTCTTAATCACTTGATTATGAAATTACCTTGAAACGAGTCCCGTACGTGTACACAATCACGATGATAGATTAACTCGTGAATAAAGCATTTTCAACGAATATTTATTTTTAAACTGTACTCGTGTCACACGAACGTGTACACAATTAATACCACTAAATAAAACTTTATGACATATTGCAATTTGTTATTATTATTTTACTCCACTTCACGTGATATCTATTTTGAATTCAAAGCGTCCTATCTTTAGTATTGAAAAGGAATCTCTTATTTTGTATGCTATTGCTGACAAACTTTTGTTAAAAGTAGAACTCATTTGTTTATTGTCAGATAAACTCGATAGCAAAATCAAGCAAAATACCAAACACGCATAACCAGTGCAAGAAGCTATCAGTTAATCACAAACCATAACGAGAAACAGTACCTCAGTTTAGTCCGATAAGATGACACAGATAGCATATGAAACTGAATTTACAATAACCCATTCTCCATTGTTGAACACCTTAAGGCCATCTCCAACCTTACCCCCATTCCCCATAATAGGAGCAATTTTGGGGTAATTTAGCTCCAACCATCCCTCATTTTTGTCCCCAAAATGGGAATGAATAGTGTTCCCTCAAATATGGGGTACACTATTCATCTCCCCTATTACTATTCATTACTTTTTTATTATTATTTTATTATTTAATCTTTTAATTTATCTCTTTATATATACCTAATTATGTTTATGTAATGTCTTTATAATATTAATTTTACATCTTAACTTTGGTGTATAATTTTGATAAATTAATTTTCATGCATATGTAAAATTGTAAGTTAATTTTATTATAAGTTATAATTGTTCAAAAAATATATAATTATCTCAAAAAATGAATGGTGCAAATATAAAATATTAGATGTTGCTACAATTGAAAGGTGCGAATATAAAATATTAGATGTTGCTAAAATTAAAAAGTGAAGATTGAAAATACATTAAATGAAAATACATTAAAATTGGAAATACATGACAATTGAAAATACATTAAATTAAAATACATAAAAATTGAAACTACGGTAAATAGCATAATAACTTAGTAGGGAGCTATGTCGTTTCCAGATACACCAAAATTATTATAGTATTGACTGAATGGGGCTGAGGATTGTTGTGGCTGTGACTGTGGATATTCTTGACTTCTTTTATATATTATTCGTTGTTGTTCTTGTCGCATAAATTCACGACGAGTCGGATCGACAATAGAATCCACATCCATCATTAAAATTTCTTTCGAATGAATTTTATTGTTATGTAATATGTATTTAATTAATCTTGTATCGCAATGATTTCACTTTTATTTGAATTATTAGTTAATCTATAATAATTGCTTACAAATTATATTATTTAAAATTTTATGGAATTGTTTTAATGGAAATTACAAATTAATAAAAATAAAAGATGGAATTTGTTTAATGGAAATTAAAAAATGAAATTGAAATAAAAGATAATAATATAATATAGAAGAGAGAGAAGAATATAAAAAAGTTTTAAAAAAAAAATGGGGGAATGGTTGGAGTAAGTTGTTCTCAAAATGGGGAAATCCCAATTTTGGGGACCAAAAATAGGGTAAAGGTTGGAGATGCCCTAAGACCCCTTTATTGCTGCATATTCTTCAATATATACAGTGGAAAAAAGAAAATCTGTGATGCAGCAGATCTAAAACGAGCGAATGACCTGAACCTCGAACCGGTAACGGAACCTCGAACGATTTAAATCGAATGAGTTGGACGACGATTTTGGACGTCACAAGGGTTGTTTTATGCTGGAGTTCGATTTTTGGCTAATGTTTGGTGGTTCGCCGGATTTCTAGCCGGATCTGTCACCTCCGTCGCAGCAGTTACAGAGAAGAGGAAGGACGACGGAGAGGGAGGAGCAGTAGCCGTCGCCGAGGTTCAGGGGTGTGGTTGTTTTTGTTTCAAGAGGAGATGGTTGGGCGGCTCTAGGTTCTTAGGGGGGTGGCCGCCGTCGTTTGTGGGGGCGCTACTGCCGTTGTGTCGCTAGGCGTTCTCTGAGAGAGGGGGGAGTTCGCTGATGATTAGGAAATGGGGGTCCGATTCTCAGAAGATGATGGGTGCGTGTGAAATGGGAAACTTTTCTCCAAGGCTAGGATTTTAGTCATAATGTGGCTTTTATATATATATATATATATATATATATATATATATATATATATATATATATGAGTGAGGGGAGTAATTATGATCCTTGGATATAAAGGATTTAATGGCTGAGATTAAAAAAATAAAATTGGTACGGGTCAATGGATAAGGTCGTGGATCGAGCTGATGGGTCATGGCCTATGGGTTTGGGGAGATTGGGCTTAAGTAGCTTAAAATTGGGCTAAATATTCTTGGATTTTTTGATAAATCTGAAAATCCTAACCCAAAACTCTAATTGTTCTAAAAATCTTAATAACTTTAGCTTAAATATAAAATAAGACAAAGTAAAATTATTTTTGTGCTTTTAATTATTCATTTTTTATATATTTTTCAAAAGTCTTAACTATTATAAAATTCTAGAAAATTAAAGTTAACTCAAATAAATGCTTACACCCACTATACTATCGGACCATAAAGACCATTACTGTCTTACTATCCATACACATTTGTCCTTAAATGGACGGTGGGGACACATGGCACTCACGCTGCCTTTTTCTCCAGCTGATGTCATTTAGACTAGAGCCATGCATACTTGTTCGGCTTAAAGATTCTATCTTTCGACAGCCAATTCACTTCTATTTAGTTGAGATATCTGGTGCGCTATTTATTTTTACTCGATTTTTCACCAAGGAGGATCCTTATGGTCTTGGGTGTTATCACATGTTAAATTTAAAGTACATGAACTAGATGTAATCAAAGTTAAATTGTACAAAATCCACACTTTGGGAGATTCAACAATTTTCTATTGGTCGTAATGGAGCAAGTTGTATTGAGTACTCCTCTAGGTTTACATTTACAGGAGTTAAGACTAATCATAGATATTTTACTGATGATATGGTAGATCAATATGAGGACTGTGAAGGTGGTGGTGGTGGTGGAAGAGATATACATGAACGTATTGGGGAAAATAAATATTACACGTGGAATTAATTGTGTGATTGATATGGCAAGACATGTGGATCACTAGAAAAGTGACAGCTGGAGAAGAGTATTTAAAAAGACGTGAGTCTTAATAGGTACGAGCAAAACGTCTAAGAGACAAGAAGATACGGTTGCTCGAGTCTCTTTAGTAATTTGAAGAGGCACCGGTGGAATGAACCAAGACAATAAAAAGGATAGATTCATTGGTCTTCAATTAATGAGCATGGATGATTACAAACGTTACAGAATCTTCACGAAACAGTTACGGTTATCAATTATAACGTTTCATTAATGTCATTAATGCTCATAATGATTCGATCATAAAGGGAAAAAGATGTTTTACTTAGAGATGACTATATAAGGAATAGAAATGTCATTTGTATGGACACGTTCTGATTATTATTGGAATACAATTATTTACTTTTGCTTTCTATTGTTTACCTTGCTATTTCACATTCTGATTTCCTTTCTTATTGCA